ACATAATTGTTTTTATTACTTCTCAATGGTAAAAGAAATAAGTCCTTGGTGAACGATAAACCTTAATGATGTCAATTCTTATTATGACATAGAAAGATTTATCTTGACATTCTTTTTTTGCGAGTCACATGATTGTTTTTATTACTTCTCAATGGTAAAAGAAATAAGTCCTTGGTGAACGATAAACCTTAACAATGTCAATTCTTATTATGACACAGAAAGATTTATCTTGACATTCTTTTTTTATGTCTAGTTGTGCATCATTAAAATGAAATTGTGAAATTGATAATTGAAAGATGTGTTTGCCATATGTTGATTCTGTCTTGATTTTATATTCCTCATCATTAAGATGGATTTTTGGTTGATAAAAGAAATCATGTGTCAGCTTTATGTTGTTTTTCTTCTAGCTTTTAACCAAAGGTTTCAGTTATGCAAATCCAGAGTGTTATGTTCTGCTGCGTATCAACTGTGAGCTAAATCTTACTGTAAATTTGCTAATGCGTTACTATTAAAATGATTGTGTTTGTTGTGCACATTAGATGGGTGAAATTGTTTTAGCTATTAATTGATTGGGTCTTCATTTTTTTTGCATTCTGGCAGATGCCAAGAGGTTGATAGGTAGGAGATTTAGTGATGCCTCTGTGCAGAGTGACGTCAAATTGTGGCCCTTCAAAGTTATCTCCGGACCAGGTGATAAACCAATGATTATAGTCAACTACAAAGGTGAAGAGAAGCAATTTGCAGTTGAGGATTTCCTCTTCTATGGTTTTAATTAAGATGAAAGAAATTGCCGAGGCATTTTGGTTCAACTGTAAAGAATGCTGTGGTCACTGTCCCATCGTACTTTAATGACTCCCAGCGTCAAGCAACTAAGGATGCAGGTGTAATTTCTGGTCTGAATGTGATGCGTATCATCAATGAACCAACAACTGCTGCCATTGCTTATGGTCTTGACAAGAAAGCAACCAGTGTTGGTGAGAAGAATGTGCTTATTTTTGATCTTGGAGGTGGTACTTTTGATGTCTCTCTTCATACCATTGAGGAGGGTATCTTTGAGGTGAAGGCAACTACTGGAGACACTCACCTTGGAGGTGAGGACTTCGATAACAAAATGGTGAATCATTTTGTACAAGAATTCAAGAGAAAGAACAAGAAAGACATCACTGGTAACCCCAGGGCTCTCAGAAGATTGAGAACAGCTTGTGAAAGAGCAAAGTAAACTCTCTCATCCACAGCCTAGACTACCATTGAGATAGACTCTCTATATGAGGGTATTGATTTTTACCTCACCATCACACGTACAAGGTTTGAGGAACTAAACATGGACTTGTTTAGAAAGTGCATGGAACCAGTAGAGAAGTGTCTACGTGATGCCAAGATGGACAAAAGTACTGTCCATGATGTTGTCCTTGTTGGTGGTTCCACTAGGATTCCTAAGGTCAGTAATTGTTGCAGGACTTCTTCAATGGGAAGGAACTATGCTAGAGTATAAAACCCGATGAAGCTGTTGCTTATGGTCCTGCTGTCTGGCTGCCATTTTGAGTGGTGAGGGTAACGAGAAGGTGCAGGATCTTTTGCTTTTGGATGTCACTCCTCTTTCTCTTGGTCTGGAAATTGCCGGTGGTGTCATGACTGTCTTGATTCCCAGGAACATGACCATCCCTACAAAGAAGGAACATGTATTCTTTACCTACTCAGACAACCAGCTTGGTGTCTTGATTCAGGTCTATGAAGGAGAGAGAATAAGGACAAGGGACAATAACCTTCTGGGTGTTCCTCAGATTACCATGTGCTTTAGCATTGATGCCAATGGTATCTTAAATGTGTCTGCTGAGGACAAGACCACTAGCCAGAAGAACAAGATCACTATCACTAATGACAAGGGTAGACTTTCCAAGGAGGATATTGAGAAGATGGTTCAGGAAGCAGAAAAATACAAGTCTGAGGATAAAGAACACAAAAAGGTGGAGGCTAAGAATGCCTTGGATAATTACTCATACAACATGAGGAACACAGTAAAGGATGAGAAGATCCCCTCCAAGCTCCCAGTTGCTGATAAGAAGAAGATTGAGGATGCAATTGAGCAGGCCATCCCGTGGCTATAAGGAAACCAGCTCGTGGAGGCTGATGAGTTCGAGGACAAGATGAAAGAGTTAGAGGGCATTTGCAACCCTATCATTGCAAAGATGTACCAGGGTGCAGGTGGTGATATGGGTAGTGCTCCCATGGACGATGATGGCCCTGCTTAGGGACGTAGCCAGAATTTCAATTTTGCGGGGACCCGAATTTTTTTTTTTTTAACTAAGATGATTGAAAATGACGATTTTGAGTACCAAAATAGGCAAGTTAGATTGACCGATCAAAAAGACAATCAGTTTGTCGATCCAAAAATAATATGTCCATCTATGTGTTAAACGCAATACAAATTGAAAAAATGAACGTTAGATGGACATAAAAAAGACAAAAAGTAAACAGCCTATCTATAAAATAAATGAAAAGATCTAAAGNACATGGTAGAGAAGGTTTAGACATCTGAAATTGGTCTTTCATTGTCATCATCACTTCAAATTGGTCAATAAGAGAATCTAATGAAAAAATATCAACAATCTCCTTCTCTATATATACAAGCATGGTACCGGACAAACAATTATCTTCCATTTTGTGGGCTGTGGCCTGTGGGTATGCTTTTGGGTAATTGATTCATAAATGGGTCTTTTGCTTTGGATTGAATTTGGGCTATTTATTTATTTAAGTAACTATTGGATTTTTTATTTAGGTCCAAAATTTTTGTATGATTGAATTTTAAAGTGTAGGTTATTGGGTCAATATTTATTAATGGAAAAAAAATTCAAAATTTTGCGGGGGTGAGTCAAAATTTTTGCGGGGGCGAAACTGAAAAATACATTACAAATTAACTGATAATAGTGGACCAGCGGACAATGCTTGCCCCTATCTCCGTCTCTAGCCCTGCTCCTAGCGGTAGCAGTGGACCTGGTCACAAGATCGAGGAGGTCGATTAAGCTCATGGTATATTCCCCTTGGATTATTTATGTCATATCTTATTTTGTTTACTTAGTAATTGATAGCATCGGCAATTCTCTCTTATTCGATGCCTGCTTAAGATTTTATGCTATTTTCAAGCAACTATTATCATTTTTATATTATGTGGCAAGTATGCTCAATTGGAGATTTTTCGCCTCGATTTTATTCTTGAAATTTGCATGTGGTCTTCCGCTTGGCCTCAGTTTGATTCCCTTTATTTTAACTTAGCCCTTGTTTAGTCTTTCATTATTTTCAAAATATATTTTTATTTCTTATTTTCAATCACACATCATTTAATAAAATAATATTACATTCAAATTCAAAATTTTCCCTTATTTTTTTAGAAAATTAAGCTATTTGTACACTTTAATTAACAACTTGATTGATGATGTATTGATTACGTGGAAGAGTTATAATGGACTGATTGAATGTGTGAGACGTGAAAGATAGTGTAAGATGTGAAAGATAATGTGAGATTGTGTCAAATGTAAATTTATAAGTAATGATGTAAACAAGGGTGTACGTATAACATGATTATATTCTTTAACAATACATCTTTCATTAAAATATTATTTTAAAATGTATTTTGATCAAAAAAAGGGAACTCAAATAGGCTCTTAATTTATTTTTTGTACTCATTTTCAATTACATTCACACTAGAACATTTTGTATGCTAATTTTTTTCTACTTTTTAATTGTGCATTCTTCAAAAAATATAGTTCAAAATATAATGTTTTTAAATTAAACGCTACCAACCAGGGGCTTAGTCAGATTGGTCCTGAATCCGAGGTTTTTCGTGCTTGATGCATAATAATTTTATGACCAAAATGCCCTTATATGGTGCTTAAACTGCATGTATATTGAGTAATGTTATTTATTATTACGATAAAACATCGATGATGTGACAATAATTCTCTCTCACATCTCTCTCTTCTTCCTCATGAAAATTAAACTGTTTAATTCAATTACTTTATATAAAGTATCACATCAATGATATTCTTTCATCATAATGATTAATACCATCATTTATGTATATATTCTACACTGGATTCCTTGATCCAGCTTTTTATCCGTAGTAGTAATAGCAAATGATAGATGACAAAGAAGGAATCATTAAAATTTCGGATACGATTTTTTGAAAGGCAAAAAGAATTTTGCAAGATGCATAGTTGGAATGCAGCAGCCACCAATACAAGTATATCCTCAGCCTTCACTAAAAATAAAACACATTTAGTATTATTTAGATCATTCGATCCATAAAATATATTTGCTTTCTTTTTTTATTTGTTTCAAATTGTAGGTCAATTTTCTTGTTATAGTTTATTTTTTAGTTTTCTAATACATCTCTATTTATTGTTTTTTGTTATCAACAAATATGAATTATTCTTATTTAAATCATTATTTATCTTTGTTTGGTAGAAATTAAAATTTGAATTCTTATTAAAGTTAAAGTCAATAATTAATTTTGATCATATATTTTATGGGACTTTTAAACATTTCAATCACATAATTTTTATAAAAATTTGCTAAAGTTTTGATTTTAACTTTCGCCAAATAGGAGGCTAAATGTAGGAGTATATTAGAAAAAATGTAAGAAAAATTTATTTTTCAACTATAATTAATTATATATTTTTTAGTAAGTGTGAAATTGCATAATTTGCCATGTCTGATTGGAAATGTCATGGCCTCACCAAAAGGCGTAATAATGATTTTTTAGAGAATGTGTCGTTAAAAAGTAGAGAATTTTTTTTGAAAATGATTAGAAGTATTCAATTAGAAAATTATTTTCATTAGATAAGAAAGCATTGCTTATGTCGTCTTGTTATTTAATTATTAAAATTGAAGAACATTTTATGTACATTCGAATACTTATTACAGAGACAATAGAAGAGAAAATGGAACGGGACAAAATGAGAATCAATGAAACTTGACATAATAGTGCACAATTAGATCACCACTCAACCAATGTAATACATGGGATCGGGCACTTTGAAAGTTCGATTGCCCGAATTATCTCCAAGTATGTCACTCCATCGATCTCCCATATTTCCAAGAATTCTATATCCAGAATTTACTAGCTCTGTTCTCTTCTTGGATTTGTACACTAATGCAGAGGTCCCCTGATCAGCTTCTCCCCTGCATCCAAACAGCATTTTGTTCTCAGACCAATAATTACTTATTCTTGGTTAATAAGTAAATTACTTACTTGACAGTAAGATAAAATTTACGAAAAAAAGGAGTGTAATTAAAGTTCAAGTTGAAGATCAAAGTGAAAGTTGCGGATCTCTTCGCCACCCTCTCCCCACACAGTCACATGCAACCAGGCTTTCAACTCGGCCAACTCTACCTTCTGTGCTACCTGACCAAAAACCAAAAAAGATGAAAGGAAGAAGTAAAAAATTGCAGGTTACTTGAGAATGAGCTTTTCCCAGGTATGATATCCAGCTGCTTTTATATTGGAAATCCTAATGTCTTTAAATCTTTCTACTGTTCCTGTTAAAAAGACAATCTTAAACCCAAAAGGCAGCAATGTTTGATATGGGCGCAAAGACCTCGGCACTGGTGGAGCAGCTCCCTTCGTAAACCACTAGTTAAACTTTGTGTTGTTGTATGGTAATGCCTTGAAGACTTGAAGTCAAATAATGTGGTCATGATAAATGAGAAATAACAATACAAAAAAGAACATACTTTTCAAGGAATGCTCAAAGTAACTAGATCGCATGAAAACAAGAAATCCAACCCCACACGTAAAAATATTATTTGCGAAAATGATGCAAAACTAGTTAAATTATATCATACGAACAAATTATTGATAATATTATCGAAAACAACTAATGATTTATACAAGCAAAAATGTTAAGTCAACTATTTATGGAATTGTGGGTATTTGATTAAAAAAATGAAAATGCACTATATAATGTGTTGCCTTACCCAAATTGCACATCGGAGCGAGCATAATATGGCAAATTAGATAGCGTAGTTTCGTCAATATCAAAGATCCAAATATCCTTCCCATCACCAGCAAGTGTGAGGCTCTTGGCATATTCAATTGCGGTGTTTGCCACAATTTCGCAATCTTACGGTATTGTTTGCCTAGCATGTAATGGCCAACATTCTGTTCACACTCCTCGGGCACCAGTTTCCAATTTCGGATGTTGTTTGTTTCCACAGCTAGATGCCAGCTGAAGCAGTCAACATCCTGCGGCCGATAGTCGGCTACACCTGACCGTGGCCGGAGAAGATGGATTTCTTGGGTCACTTTCTCTATATAGCCATCTGCACGACAAGTTGCAAATACAGTTGCCAAAAACAAAAGTACTGCAACCAACCTCATGTTTGAAGGTTGTGCGAAGTCTTGACTTGAAATTTGGTCGTTTATATAAAGATTTGCCACCAAATGAACCCTTATTGTGCAGAAAATTACAGATGGCATCCTTGGTGCGGTACCAAAATTTTTAATTATATATTATGGGTGTCTTTCTCCCTAATTAACTTATAGATATCAAAATGTGTCTAGTAAGTAAAATACTCAGTCAAGAAACAAAATATACGATTGATGAACCATCATTTCATCGTTGAGTCCTAGATGAGTCGATTTGGGCATACTAAATATAAAAAATACTATAAGATTGCTTTTCAAGTTAGTGTTGGTAACGCGGGCTAAATATAAGTGCGGGTGAAAGAGTTGTTATATATCGAACAAACCAAAGACAAAGTTTAATCCGCAAGAGCATGATTAAACACTATAAATATAGCTGAAAATGTAGTATGTAAACTACAGACGAAAAACCAGAAAACAAGAAGTGAGGAAGAAGAAGAAGATCAATATGAGGCAAGTGATTTTCACTATTTTCTTAAGATAAAATTGCCGGCAACGGTACTCACGGTTCACTGTACTTGTTTCCCAAGATACAATGGATTCAACTTGTGGTAGAAGCACTTCAAACCACAAGTTACGGCGAACGTTTGACGGAGTTTCTCTCTACAAAAAAGAAAACGGTTTGAATGAATTGGGAAGTGATTTGCAAGAGGTTTTTATGCAATGGTCAATGCAAATATGATATGGGATACAAAATGGACGTCCAAGGGGTCCTATATATAGAGGATGAGAGGTTGCAAATAAAATGCAACGCCCCAAACTCAGCAACTCTTGCCAAAGGTCGCACAAATATTTGGGCTGTCGTGTCCCCATCTCTTCGCTCAAGCGATAAAAACAGTGACTTTTTCGCTAGCCTATCGCTCGAGTGAAAGCCTAGCGAAAAAGTCACTGTTTTATCGCTCGAGCGAAGCGACAGCGACAGCGACGCCCAACGATAAGCTAGCAACAACCTTAGTCAATTTTCCATGCAGCTTTCTCTATTTTCTTCCTAACTTTGGACCGCAATTTTTCATTCATACAGAATTGGTTTTGAGATTCCAAATATACCATGATGATCTACTCGACGAGTAGAACAAGTTGATTTATTTACTTTTGCAAGTCCGAATATTTGGCCGAAGTTGACATGAAAGTCACATTTCCAAGTTTCGATTTTATCACTTAACCAAATTCCAATCTTTCAAAACCAATTTCCAACAATCCCCCACATGAATAGAAATTCGAACATGCATATGTAATGCAAAATTATGATGTATTGTAGAGAGAGAGCAGAAAAACACTGCATCAGGAAAGGTAGCTTCCGTCTTTGAAACTTCCTTAGAGAAATACTATCGGACTTACTTGGCTAATTGGTGAACGTGATGTCTTGAACCATTCAGTCGTTAGTGTAAGCCAAGACAATAATACCCGCACAGATGTCTTCCCTAATCCGTTCATAGTTCTCATGACTTGGTTCATTTTGGTCGTGAACCACCATTAGGTTTCATAAGTGTTTAGAGAATTGTAGCCTTGAGCAATTCTCATTAAAGTGGGCTCACTTCACACTTACATAGTTGATATCATATTAAGAGTATTCTGTCATACTCTACTTGACTTAATCAAGATATAGAAATCATTAAAAGAGTATCTTAACCTTTAATCATTATGCAGAAAGCACTTTAATATCATAAGAATGAGTTAGGAAATAATTTCCTAAGTGCTTCATTGAACATTCATAACTTAGTTGTCCCTTTGAACCAATATCTTGGGATCTCCAATCAATAAGGTAGGATTACCATTATAAAGACCCTTACGTAGTAGGCTTTAATCCCATTCCTTTCGATAGTCAACGTATTTGATCTCTAGGCAAACCTTTTGTAAGTGGATCCGCAATGTTCACATTTAATTTCACATAATCTATGGAGATGATGCCATTAGAGATTAGTTGCTTAATGGTATTATGTCTAGACTTACCATTATACATGTTGCTTTAAGCCCTTCCAATAGTCGATTGACTATCATAATGTATACTAATTGTAGGTACTGGTTTTGGCCAACATGCAATATCTTCTAGAAAGTTACGAAGCCATTCTTCCTCTTTTCCACCTTTATCAAAAGCAATAAACTCTGATTCCATTTTTGATCAAGCTATACACGTTTGCTTTGTCGATTTCTATGATATAGCAGCTCCACCAATCTTAAATACATAACCACTAGTAGACTTGGAATCCTTCATATCGGATATCCAATTCACACCACAATATCTTTCCAATACCACATGATATTTTGTGAAATGTAATCCATAGATTAATGTATACTTCAAACACCTAAGAACCCTTGTTAAAGCCTTCCAATGATCATAACTTGGATTACTTGTGAATCTAATAAGTTTATTCACAACATATGCTATATCCGGTCGAGTGCAGTTCGTAATATACATTAGATTGCCTATAACTTGTGAATACTTTAGTTGTGGCACACATTCACCCGTAATTTTGACTAAGTGTAAACTTGGGTCAGTAGGGATTTTCATAGGACTTTCCTCAAGTATATTATACTTCTTCAGTATACTCTCAATATAATAAGATTGGGAAAGTACTATTTTTTTCGCTGTTCTAGAGATCTTAACCCCTAGTATCACATTAGCAACACTCATATCTTTTATATCAAAATACTTCGTTAGCATTCTCTTGGTATTTAGCATTAGTTCATGACTATTTGCCATTATCAACACATCGTCTACATATGGAGACACAATTTTATATAGGTAATTGGTGTTTGTTTTATATGTACACATTTATCACATTCGTTTATCTTGAATCCATTTGACAACATTGTTTTGTCAAAATTTTGGTGCCATTGTCTAGGAACTTGTTTCAATCCATACAAGAACTTAACAACTTTACAAACCTTGTGTCGTGATTAGGAGAGACAAACCTTTCGAGTTGTTTCATGTATATCTCATTTTCTAACTCACCATTTAGGAATGCCGTTTTCACATCCATTTGATAAATTTCAAGGTTGTGTATTGCTGCAATCACAATTGACAACCTCATCGAAGTGATTCTAGTCACGGGTGAGTAAGTATCAAAGAAATCAAGTCCTTCTTTTTGCTTATATCTTTTGGAAACCAACCTAGCCTCATATTTGTTAATGGATCCATCCGGTTTAAGTTTCTTATTAAAATTCATTTACACCCTAAATGCTTATTTCCGGGAGGTAAATCAACCATCTCCCAAGTATAGTTTTGCATTATCGAATTTATCTCACTATTGATAGGTTTTTTCCAATGCAGTACTTCCGGTGTAGACATGACTTCATCGAAAGTCTTTGGATCATTTTCTATCACATATGTTAGAAAATTTGGGCCAAACGAAGTAGATATTTTTGCCCTTTTACTATGCCTTGGTTCTTCCGCATTTAAAATACCATTTGTAGTATCATAAGTTCTTTTATTTAAATTTACATTTCCTTTTCCTTACAAGAAAAGACATTCTCGAAAAATGACTCATTTTTATTCAATTATGGTTCCCTTATGTACATCTTGAATTTCAGATTTGTGTACAAGGAATCGATATGCACTACTATTATTGGCGTATCTAATAAATATGCAATCAATCGTTTTGGGACCAATCTTTACTTGCTTTAGGTTAGGGATTTCAACCTTAGCTAAACACCCCATACTTTCAAGTGTTGATAGGAAGGAGGATGACATTTCCATAATTTATATGGAGTCTTTTCCATTTTCTTAAGGGGTATCCTATTAAGAATACTATTTACAATTAAAATAGCTTCCTCCACAAGTTTTAAGACAATCCCGAACTTAACAACATAGTGTTCATCATTTATTTAAGAGTTCGGTTTTTGAGTTCAGCAACACCATTCAATTGAGGAGAGTATGACGCCATTGTTTGATGAATATTTTCATGTTTGGAATAGAATTCTTCAAACGGTACCCTGTATTCACTTCCTCCATCACTATGAATATTCTTCATTCATTTACCAAGTTGAGTTTCAACTTCTGCCTTATAATGTTTAAATGCATCCAATGCTTCATCTTTACTTCTTAAAAGAAAGATATAACAATACTTTGTTCAATCATCAATGAAAGTAACAAAGTATTTCTTACAACCTTCAGTTTGAACATATTTCAAATCACAAATGTCGCTATGTATTAGCTTTAAAGGTGTAGTATTCCTTTGAATCGAGTGAAACGGTGTTTTAGCCAATTTTACTTCAATACACACTTCGTATTTATGATTAAGATCGGTCTTAAGCGCCTAATTATGCATTGATTCATAAGTTTGCGCAAAGATTTATAATTAACATGCCCTAATCGACTATGCTACAAATAGGACAACTCAAGCATATAAACGGAATTTAAATTTTATTCAATATGTTTTTCCTTGGTACAGTAGTAAGAACATTCATTTTGAGCATTCCATCAGACATGTATTCCTTTCCTATATACATCTCATTCTTAGTGAGTACCAATTTATCGGATACAAATACAAGCTTAAAGCCACTTTTACTAAGTAGAGACCCAGACACTAGATTCTTCCGTATGGCAGGGCCATGTAGGACATTGTGGAGGACGAGTTCTTTTCCGGATATCATCTCCAAAGTGACCTTCCCTTATTCTTCAACTTTGGAACTTGCAGAGTTTCCCATGAAGAGTTGTTTTCCATCCAATTTTTGATAATTTGAAAACACCGCCTTATCTGCACACACATGACGGGTAGCACCAATGTCAACCCACCATTCCCTTGAGTTTCCAATGTGGTTGCACTCAGAAACAACTACAGATAAATTTATCTCTTGCATCCCTTCAGAAAGGGTGTCTCTTTCAATCATGTTGGCACGTGCATTCCTCTTTGGTTTTTGACATTTGCTTGAGCGATGTCCGGCATTTCCACATTTGTAGTAGTTCCCTTTGAACTTTTTGGCTTTCTTGGAGTTGTCTCTTCGCGGTGTCTAACCAGAGAATTTTCTCTTCTTGTTGAAAAAGTCTTCGAATTGGTTTCAATAAAGTTTGCTCCAAGTTGGACAATAGGCCTTCTTTCAAATTTCGTATTGTC